AACTGCGTCGCCGTCCGCGTCGTGACAAGGCAGCTCCAAACTCAAATAAAATCGTCTCCCCCGATTGCTCGGTATCCGGATCTGCTGGAAAAAGCCCCCTCTCGGCACCAGCTGGTGGCGTTCCACGCGCGGCAGACGGATTTGCAAAATCCTTCGGCGATGAACGCAATCGTTCTGTCACGAGAATTGTTCGGGTCTGGGGGCGGTAGCGCGGGCGCCCGAAGGGCCCGGCCATGGGTCAACCTCGTCGGCCGAGCGCGAGTCGCACCAGCAATAGAGGGGGGCACTCTCGGCAACTTTTTTTTCGTGAATTTCGCCAAGCTGGCCCGCGCTCCTTCCGGGGAACGCTCGAAGGCAAGGCGTGGGCCCTGCGCCGTGCTAACCTGACGCCTCATGGAAGAATGACTGCTGGACCATGGGGCCCCCCCCCCCGCGCGATGGCGGCATCGCTGGGCTCGACAATCCTGGGCAGCAGGTCTTTAAAGTCCAGGAAGCACTGGCTGTCGGCGGCGGCCGTGGGGTCGCGCGACCAATCGCCGCAAACTCTTCAACGGCCACTCCGCACAGGAGATGCGCGAGCCAGGCGGGCGGTTCGGAGAAGAGCGGGGCCGCGGAGCACAAGCGGGCGCTGGAGCGAGCTCTGCTCGGCAACCTCCACACGCGTCGGATGGGCGCGCGCCTGGGCAACGTGGCCGACGACGGGCGGCGCGAAGGTGGCGGGCGGCGATTTTGTCGCTGAGGCCCCAGCCCAGCTGGTCTACCAACAATCCGCTCCTCGAGAGCATTCATGACTGGCCCCCGCGAACCTCCGATGCAGATGTCTAAGCGCATCCAGTCCTCGCCGACGATGAAAACAACGTTTGGACGCCCGCCCCAATCCCCCGCGTCTCCGAACGAGCCCCCCCCCCTACCCCGCGGACAGTCGACGCGCGCTCGCGGGGGTGCAGGGCGGGCCCAGACGCGCCAGCAGTCCTCAAGGGTGAAGGACCTGAGCATGGCAAGAGAGGACGTTGCAGCATGCAGCCCCGATATCGTCGGCGAAGAGCCCGGGCACTACGGGGGGAACAAGGCAAGCCCTCCGAATCCCGGTGAGAACAAGGTTGAGGCAGATACAAATGACGAGGGCCAAGGCCGGAAGGCCGGGGCAACCTTGCTTGACGCCTCCTGAAAGGGCCGCGGATACGAGCTCGCAGCCGCGCATAGAACCTAGCATCTCTTGATCGGCGCAAAGGGTCGGGACGGCTCGCCGAACGCGGCGCGGGGCCCCCAGCGCGCGGGGAGCGCCCCGAGTGTTGTACTTGTTGCGAACGCTAGGGGCTGCCGAATTTACATGTAAAGCGCCGTTCCGAACATGGGGCCGATCTCCATGATGACCCGCTGAACCATGGCGCGGCCCGGTGGATGCAGGGGCTCGCTGCCGGGCGCCGTGCCCCCCAGACCGGTGGAAGAAAACTTCGCGCGATGCGTTGAAGCGTGCCGGGGGGGCGCCCCGATTCCATCGGGCGTGAGAACTGCTGGTAGAGAAGGGGCAGCCGCGCGAGGCATCGCGTCTGCGGCCCGGGATCTCGAAAAGGGCCTCGGAGAAGGTCCCTGGGAATCTGGCTTGGCTTATTAAAAAAGATGTTCAACTTCGTGATATGGGCATCGGAAAGATGACCTGGCAGTGCGCGCGGGTGCCCCGTGGGCCCGCGCGCTGGCCCTGACGAGACCTCCCCCCTTTTGTTGGCTAGAAGCTCGGCGCGTCTCCCGCGCCAGGAAATGCGTCGCCGCCGGGGCCCGCGTGCGCGGCGTGGCAGAGCTTCACCCCCTGCTTCCTCCAGGCGTGGGCCATGCGAAGGATATCCTGAAGCTGGGCAAATGCGTTATCTCGGGCAACTTCAGGGTTGATCCGTCGGGCGGCTCGCCGGATCCTCGCCCCGGGCATTTCGACGAGCCCCCTCATCGTATTTCCGAAGGCGAAATCAAACGCGCCCCTCTGGAACCACGTGCTTCGCGGGCGCCCTGAGAAGCCACTCATAGCTTCGGAAAGCTGCAGAAAGCCACTCATAGCTTCGCGGGCGCCCTGAGAAGCGCCTCCTCTGGCGTCTCGGATGGAGCAGGCAACCCTTCCCCCAGGGCTGCCGGCGCCGCGGGGGGGGGGGGGGGGCGCGCCCGCAAGGCTCGTCGACGGCCAAATCGAATGCGTCATTTTTGCCAGGCAGCTGGTCGGTAATCTCGCGTCATAGCCCTTCTGGAACGCCAGATTCCTCCACCGCCCGCTTGAAGATCTGTCGTTTGTCTACCCAGGTCAACGGGAACGAAGCGGCGCGAGGGGCCTGCGGGGTCTGCGCAAGACAGACGGAGCGTTGTCGGACAGTTCGCCGAGGACAGCGGCTTCTCGGCACGCGCCACCACGGGGCCCCGGGTCGAAGTCGCCCGAGACGCTGAGACTGAATGGGGGGCCGTGCAGGCGCCCCGCGGAGAGCTCCTCTTCCCGGTTAAACCGATGAGCAGCATGGCCCTGACGGGTCTCGACAGGATCAGGGAACGAGGCGTGGGCGATGGAAGCGATGCGCCTAATTGTTGGTCTTTCGAGCCACCCCCCAAGCTGGCGCCCGGGCGAGACCCCCCTGCAGCCGCGAAGATCGAGGCGCCAAACATGCAGATTGCACTGCACAGAGGGTCGGCAAGCTTTGCCCCGGCCCTGCCGCGGGGCCCCAGGCCCCATTCAGGCCCGGCATGATACTCACGGCTGCAATGTTCCAGGGCCCCACTCAAGGTCAAAGATGGCGACGCGACTGGGGGCGAGATCAACGGGGGCCTAGACCTGCCGCCGCCGGAATACGCGCTAAGAAACAAGGAAGGGGCAGACGAACAGGAGCCCCCAGGTGCACTTGCGCGACTTGAACTCGCGACGAAGGCGCCCAACATCCCTTCCTCCCACGCGACCAGGGCCCCCGAGGATTTCGAAGCGCCAGGAGACCGAACATGTCCAGTATACCAGAGGCTCGCATATTCCGAACGCGCAGAGCCCGGCCCCCCCCCCCCCCCCCCCCCCCCCGCGAGTTTCAACTGCGCAAAATAGAAAGAGAAAGCGGGATAACGAAACAGAGGCACCGGCAGGCGGCGGGGCGCCAGACGGGGCCTCCAGGCGTCAAGAAACTCCTCGCACTGTAAGCCGTCGGCTGGCCCGAGCGACTGCGATGGTCGGATCGCCGTGCCCAGCCCCCGCTGGCGTCGTCTTGGGCCCTCGCCTCAAAACCCGGAGACGCCGTCAGTTCTGGGGCCCTGTGGCCCCCATTGACGGAGCCCGGGAACCCGGGGCAAAAACAAAAAAAAAAACTGCCCGTCGCGCCCCGACGCCGACCTCCCGCGCCCTCCCTCAATCGACCCCCCCCCGCTAGTTCCCCCATGCATCGCGTCGCGGAATCTGCGGGCCCGATCGGAATGGCGTTCCAACATGCCGACCGATGCGATCTATATATATATATATATATATATATATATATATACATACACATACCTATGCATACATAATATCTATATATATATATATATATATATATATTGATATACATATATATATATATATGTATATCATGGCAACGTGGTGGCGGGGTTTGAATATGCGACGAAACGAACCATATTGTAATATACTTGACGCACGAATAGACCCCACCCGCGAAGCGAAAACCCCGCGCCCCCGCGATTGACAGGCCGGGGGCAAGGAAGTTCGGGGCCCACAACGGGTCGCGAGCTTCCCCCGGCAGGTCGCAGCAGAAAGGGCGCTGAAAGGAGATGATGACGTCGCGACGTCGGCGACGACGACGACGGCGATGATGCGGGGGCGGGGAAGGTGTGGGAGGAGCAGGTGGTCGTAGCGGTAGAAGTAGTAGTAGTAGTAGTAGTAGTAGTAGTAGTAGTAGTAGAAATAGTAATAGTAGTAGTAGTAGTAGTAGTAGTACTAGTAGTAGTAGAAGCAGTCATAGCAGTGATAGAAGTAGAAGTAGTAGTAATAGTAGTAGTAGTAGTAACAGTAGTAGGATTAGTAGTCGTAGTAGTATTAGTAGTAGTAATAGTAGTAATAGTAGTAGTAGTAGTAGTAGTATTAGTAGTAGTAGTAGTAGTCGTCGCAGTAGTAGTCGTAACATTAGTAGTAATAGTAGTAGTAGTAATAGTCGCCAGTCGATGTCGCTGCAGAGGCGGGAGAGAGGAGGAGGGGGGGTGGGCGAAGGGAGGGGGGTGATTTCGGACAAGAGCAAAGTTGCAGACATATCAAACTCCTCCGGGAAAGCCCATTATTTCAGGACAAAGTCAAATCCTCGCGCGGGGCCCATCTCCGGCACTTCCCGGCGATGGCAAGCCCCTGAAATAACAAAGCTCGTCCACAGAGGGGGGATCGTTGTCGCCGTCGCAGTAGTTGACGCTAGTGGAAATAATAATGACGTAATAGTACCAGTCGTACTCGTAGTCGTCGCAGTCGTCATTGTAGTATTTGATGATAGCCACGACGATAATGACGTTGCGGATGATGACGACGACGCAGTAAGAAGACTCAAACTACGATTCGCTCTTTCTCCTGCGATAATGAAGTTCAGCCCCGCCGCCCCCCGCCGCCAACCAAACCTGCGTTGGCTGGAGGCAACCGGCGCTCGGGTCTCACGGGGGGGGGGCATTGCTATCCAGGGCGCGCGGCTAAATCCGCGGCGCGGCCGCTGGGGGCCCGACGTAGACTTCTCCGCCGCGAGCGCGCAGGCGCCCCGAAAGCTTCGGCGGGGCCGGGGGGCGCGCGGCGATGGCCCCCGCTTGCGCCGCGCGCTCTGTCACGCGACGAGCGAAGGTTGCATCGGCGCGCTTCGCCGAGCAAAGGCGCCGGGATGCAAGCTGCAACCTGCGCAAGAAAAGAAATTATCCCACGGCCATGCACGCCTGGGGGCGGGGTCATATATCGGGCCCGGAGACTGTCGCACCGGGTTCGCGCGGCCCTCTCCCACGACTGAGACAGACGGGCGCGAGCGGAATTATATGCGCAACCAGACTGCCTCACTGGCAACCTCCGCCCACGCAGCATCGTGGGATTGCGGGCGGCGTTGAAGATGGATTGGGTCTTGCTGGCAGAGACCCCCGCGGGTCGAGCCGCCCCCGGCGGCCCGGGGCTCTCCCCGGGGCGCCGACCCCCGTGGGGCACGCACTGTCGCAAAGAGGTCCACCGGGACAGCTTCCGCCACCTCGACCTTGCACCGTTAATTGCGAGCTGCGCTCTTGGCCCCGCTCAAAGCGAGCCTTCAGGGCGTCGAAGATGGGCCGGTGGACGCGGCAGATCTGGCGCTGGCGGTCGCGCGCGTCGATTGCGATGCCGTGCCGAACCCGAAGCCGGCGCGACCCCGCTGTCCTTGGGTCGATCCACTCGGAGGCCCGCCGGCTGACATTCTCACGAAATCGCACGGCGCCGGCGAGCGAGCTGACGCTGATCTTGTAGTCCTAGGCGATCGCATGGAGCGCAACTTCAGCGACCTGGAGAAGGCGTAGGCGTGCTAGGATTATTTCTCGGACAGCCTATACTAGGGCGAAGAAAGCCGACGACGAAACGCGCGCGAGGTTTGGCGCCTGCCCGGCGGGAGCCACTGGCCCGCGATGGCACCTGGGTCCCGGTGCCGCGGCTGGCGGGGACATCGGCGTTCATGGGCGGGTCGTCGGTCTTATGAGAGATGGCCTGCATCCGCTGCGCGAGGGCGGGGATCTGCCCCCGGCGCGCTGCCGGCGCGCCGTGGGCCGTGGAGACCGGGGAACCTGGCGCCGAGCGCGACGATGGCTTCATCTTGATGATGACGACGGGTCGCAATGGCAGCGGTCGGCGCGTCGATGCTGGAACCTGGGTTACCGTGGAGTTCGTGGCCCCCATGATGTCGCTGCCCTAACCTGAGCGGGCGCGGGGAGTGGCATGGCGATCAGGTTCACGAGTGTCAGGCATCTAAATGAGATTCTTCGCCGCCCACTCCTGCCCCGACTGAATGAGCGGCTGTGAGCGCTGTCGCGATGGCCCCCTCGATTGGAAGGCGATCCGGCACGTTCTCGCGACTTCTTGGCCCCTGCGAATGTCGCCGCCCCATGACTGGGGCACTAGACGCAACGGGAAGTGGGGGGTGCTTCATTTTACCCGCGGCGCGAAGCGCGGGAGCTGGGCAGCAGAACTCGCGGCCGCCAAGTGGCTCGTCGCGAAGGCCGAAGGATAAAACTCACAGCGGCCTGGGCTCGGACTAGAGGGGAACAGGCATCGTGAGCCAAAAAGAGGAATGATAATGATGTTGGAAATCAGTGCCAGTCCAGGCTGGCTGCGCCTACACGGTGGACCCCCGCTCCGCGGGGCCAAGGTCTACGACGGCCAAGGAGCAGCCCCGGGGCACCGCGGCAGCGCCCCCAAGACAATCCGGGCCTCAGTGCAGCGCCCCAAGCCTTCCGGGCCAGGTCCAAACGCGGCGATGCTGAAGCCCTCGGCCCACGAGGGCGCGACTGTGGAGTCGGCGCCGCGCCGCGCCCTCTGCCGAAAGCCTGGCTGAGGACCTCGCGCGCCGCCGCCTGCGCTGCCACTCTCTGCGCCCCGCCTCGGACCGCGCTCGCCTGTCGCCCCCGATCGTGTCCAGAGCCTCCGAACTCCCCATCCCATCAGCCCGCGCCGCCTCGACCGCCCCGGTCAGCGACCTCCTTGAGGTCGCCGATGCGGTCAGCGACGCGCACGCACTTTGCCCTCCGCGTCGCGCCCCCCAGTGACCTCCGCAAGGGTCTGGAGGTCTGCGTTGCCCACGCGGGAATTGCCCTCCACGCCCTGCTTTCTGTCAGAGAGCAGGAACTGCGGCGGGTCGGACAGGTCGCCCGGAAAATCGGGCCGCTGATGCCGCAGCCGAAATAATACCTCATTGCTCATGTCGGCCCAGAAGCGACGTGCGCCTTTCTCTGCTTCCTCGGCCGCCGCACCAACGACGTTAGACGCAATGCAGAAAACCTGGGGGCCCTCGCCTGGTATGCTCGGTGCGGCGAGGCCCACGCTGTCGTCTAGGAGTAGTGTCCCTGGCGCCACGGTGCTGCCGCGAAGTTCTTTTTGCGTAGTTCAGCGCCTTGGTTCCTCACTCCTCCTCTGGACACTTCTGCCTTTGTCTCCCAGCGCCGCCTCGGTTGACTCTTGCACTCCCTGCTTCGCCCGCTGATGGAACTCCACTTTCTTAGACATGCGCTCTGGTTCAGGTAGTTGATACTCTTGCTGTGGCAGTGGCCGAGCTCCTTGAACGAGGACCCCGGACGCTGCCGCGCCACAGCGCCCAGCCCACGGCGGCCGCGCCTTCGGGCCTGGCGGGTTCAAGGGCCAGTTGGCCTGGCGCCTCCGCGGCGTCCAAAGGTGTCCCCAGGGGCCCAGTGTCCTCGAGGTGCGGGGCAAGCTTCAACTGCACCGTCCCGGTGTCTTGGTGGCGGCCGCGCAGGCTGCGCGATCTCTGGTGCTCCTCATCAATCGGGTGCAGGCGCGTCGCCCCCTCCGACCCCGAGTCGCCCTTGTCCACCGAACCCGAGTCCTCTCTCTCCGGCTCGTCGATGCTCTCGCTCTCCAGCATCTCCTGCGAGGTCGGCTTTGCTGCTGTGGTGGTGGCCTGCTGCGGGTCTCCGCTCCCGCCGTTCGCAGCAAACTTCTGACCTTTTTGACGATAGCCATCCGCACGCACGCCTTTAGCGCGTCGATCGCCTCCGTCAAGGCTGAGGTCTGCGCGGTCCCGCTGCTCATCCGCCAGGTCTGTCGCTCGGCTGCGCCGCGGGCACACGCTGGCTCGGATCGCATACGGGGCATGGCGACGCCCCTGCAATCGGCTCGCGCCTGCACGCCACTTCGAAGTCCGCAGGTGCAAGCGCGTGCCCCCTCGCGGCTGCGCCCCCCCCCCGAAAATGCTTTTTGAGCCAAAGTGGCCACGGAGGAGGAGGAGGAGGAGGAGGAGGAGGAGGAGAAGGCGGGTGTGCAGGACGGTAGCAGGAGGATGGATAGGACGCTCCCCCTCCCCATCCTCCCTCCGACGCCGTGTCGATGCGAGGGCACACGGCTCTCGACCCTTTCGCGGGGACACTTTTTAGGCCCCGAGGGATCGTCGGGATTGTTCGTTGACGGCCCCGGACCCCGAAAACGGCCCCCTGAGGCGGAAAATGCTGAAGATCCGCCCCGACTGTTCTAAACATCGGCGGCCTGCGAATTCCTCCCCGTCCCCTCGCAGCCGGCGCCTCTGGAGCGAGAGCTGCAGCTCCCCCGACAGGCGTGCCAGCTCCTGCGGGGCGCGGCGGGCAAGGCGCCCGACCCTCCCCTGACCCTCCCCCTCCTGCTCCTCCACATCGGAGCTCGAAGCTGCGGGCTGCCCGCAATCCTCTGGAGCGAAGCCCTCGGCCCCTGCTGGCCGACGGCGCGCCGGTGAGAAGGTGAAAACATTATCCTGGCGAAGGACCCAACCATATGCAATTGTGAATAACGCTTTGTGGGTGCCGCTTTCGGTGGGGCTCCCTATGGGGCCACGAAAGGCGTGCCACGAAACGCTGTCCTGGGCGTGCGGGACGCATGCGGGCGGTAGCACTGGGGCCTTTGCTGGAGCTCCCTATGGGGCCACGCAACGCTGTCCTGGGCGTACGGGACGCATGCGGGCGGTAGCACTGGGGCCTTCGGTGGAGCTCCCTATGGGGCCACGAAACGCTGTCCTGGGCCCTGGGCGACGAAACGTGTGACGGGTGTGCCTACATGGGTGCGGTGCCGCCATGCGAACGCAGCCGCTGGGGCTCTCGGTGAGCTCCCTATGGGGCCACGAAACGTGTGAGGGGTGTGCCGAAATGGGCGCGGTGCCGCCATGCCAACGCAGCCACTGGGGCCCTCGGTGGAGCTCCCTATGGGGCCACGAAACGTGTGAGGGGTGTGCCGAAATGGGTGCGGTGCCGCCATGCCAACGCAGCCACTGGGGCCCTCGGTGGAGCTCCCTATGGGGCCACGGAACGTGTGAGGGGTGTGCCGAAATGGGTGCGGTGCCGCCATGCCAACGCAGCCACTGGGGCTCTCGGTGGAGCTCCCTATGGGGCCACGAAACGTGTGAGGGGTGTGCCGAAATGGGTGCGGTGCCGCCATGCCAACGCAGCCACTGGGGCCCTCGGTGGAGCTCCCTATGGGGCCACGAAACGTGTGAGGGGTGTGCCGAAATGGGTGCGGTGCCGCCATGCCAACGCAGCCACTGGGGCCCTCGGTGGAGCTCCCTATGGGGCCACGAAACGTGTGAGGGGTGTGCCGAAATGGGTGCGGTGCCGCCATGCCAACGCAGCCACTGGGGCCCTCGGTGGAGCTCCCTATGGGGCCACGAAACGTGTGAGGGGTGTGCTGTGATAGTGGGTGGAGGGAGGGGGCAGAGGGAGGAAGGAAGGAAGGAGTGAACGCGGGGCACTGTCTCTTCAAAACGAGGACCCAACACCACAGGATGGTTGGGAACAACCGAGATGTGAGAAAGCAAAGACGGGAACGACCGAAGGGCGGACGCGACGTGGGATTATCCTCTACCTCCTCCTCCTCCTCCTCCTCCTCCTCCTCCTCCTCCTCCTCCTCCTCCTCCTCCTCCTCCTATCTCCTCCTGCCTGTCCTCCCCCGCTTCCTTCCCCCCCATCCCCTCGACCCCCCCTCCGCAGGATCCTGTTCGGCCTGGCCCATGTTCGCCGCGGTCTGCTGCTCGAACTGCCTCCGCGGGGCCGCGCGAGGGGGAGGGGAGGGCGCAGGACCGAGAGGGGAAGCTGCGGCGCCATGGGCGAGAGGGCTTCGCAGAGGAGGGGGAAGACGAGGAAAAGGAGGAGGAAAAGGAGGAGGAGGAGGAGGAGGAGGAGGAGGGGGAAAATGAGGAAGAGGAGGAGGAGAAGGAAGAGGAGGAAGAGGAGCGAGGGAGGGAGGGAGGGGAGGGAGGAGGGAGGAGAGAATGGGACGAGGAACCCACCTCCCACACAGCCATTCCCATTGCAATGATTTCTTCTGTGCCCGCGGACGCCTGCCATGACGAACCTGGAATCCCTAGAGAGAGTGGTTTGCGGTATTTGCGCCACAGGGTAACAGGCAACTGCGAAAATAGGAGGAGGATGGAATGGGCAGGACGGTGAACAGGAAGAAAATATGAGGATGAAGAAGGAGGGGGAGGACGACGAAAACGAACAGCAACAAAAGGAACTGTAATGGAAGGGGCGGGACGACCACGAGCAAAGAAATGTGGAGGGGGGTTGGAGGAAGGGGGCGACAAGGATGAAGTCGGACTCGATCCAAAAAAAACTGCCCGCGTTGGTGCAACATCGCCCCGATCCTAAAATGAGTCCCGCGCTGCAGCGGAGACGCAATTTCGGAAGGACCGACAACAATCGGATTTGGGAAAACACCTGTTAGCCATCGTGTGTTATCGATGTGGTGTAAACTATGTTGGGCTATGTACATGCTGCAACTCACGTGGTGCAAAACACCCTGCCAAACTGTCAACTCCACCGTTCGGTCAATCATCCCACCTACCCACCCGCAGCTTGGCTTGCAAAACCCATGCGGCGGCGATTGCGATGGCTGCTTGGTGCTGGCTGGCGCATCGCTGCGGACGCGCTGGCGCGCGCAGACTCGCGCGCACAGCGGTCAGCTTGTCTGGCACGACCGATGCGGCGGCTGTGGCACTGACGATGGGGCCACCCCCGGCGCATCTCGCAGGCCGCGATGGCGCTTCAATGCGAGTCGGTGGCTCGGGCGGGGGCACGGTACCACGGCGACGTCGACAAACGCAGACATGATGATATTAGCGATGCTGGTGGCGATGGTGGCAACGACGACGGTACAACTAATTATCCCAGCAAAGCAACCTAACAGCGATGTGTATAAGCATATCTGGAAGCATTCCCCTTAAGATTCAGGTAAGAATCCAGTTGTAGAATTCTGCTGTTCTCGCAGTCGCAGTCGCATTCGCAATGACAGTCGCAGTGGCAACGGCCTTAGGATCCAATGGAATCCTAGGATTCCCAAGGATTCCTGAGGATGCTTAACTATGCCTACTGATTCCTAAGGATGCCCACGGATTCCTAAGGATTCCTAGGGATTCCTAAGGATTCCTATGGATTCCTACGGATGCCTCGACCTGCCTCAGTTTCAGCCTCAGCCTCAGCCTGCCTCGGCTTGCCTCAGCCTCAGCCTGCCTAGGCCTCAGCCTCAGCCTGCCTCAGCCTCAGCCTCAGCCTGCCTCGGCCTCAGCCTGCGTCAGCCTCAGCCTCAGCCTGCCTCAGCCTCAGCCTGCCTCAGCCTCAGCCTCAGCCTCAGCCTCAGCTTCAGCCTCAGCCTCAGCCTGCCTCGGCTCGCCTCAGCCTCAGCCTCAGCCTGCCTCGGCCTCAGCCTGCCTCGGCCTCAGCCTGCCTCAGCCTCCCCTCCTCCCCCCCCTTCCCCCCCCCCCATTCAGCCTCACCTTGTCTCAGCTTCGGCCTGCCTCGGCCTCATCCTCAGCCTCAGCCTCAGCCTCAGCCTCAGCCTGTCTCGGCCTGAGCCTCAGCCTGCCTCAGCCTCAGCCTGCCTCAGCCTCAGCCTCAGCCTGTCTCAACCTCAGCCTGCCTCAGCATCAGCCTCAGCCGCAGCCTCAGCCTGCCTCGGCATGCCTCAGCCTCAGCCTCAGCCTCAGCCTGCCTCGGCGTGCCTCAGCCTCAGCCTCAGCCTGCCTCGGCCTCAGCCTGCCTCGGCCTCAGCCTGCCTCAGCTCGGGCATTCAAAATATGGCACAGGACTGGTGTTCTGGGAACACGAAGATCACGAAGTGGCCCACAGTTGGCTCCGGGCAATCAAAATTAGCATGGGAATGGTGTTCTGGGAACACGAAGAACACGAAGTGGTCTACAGTTGGCTCCGGGCATTCAAAATGTGGCCTGGGAGTGGTGTTCTGGGAAAACGAAGCACACGAAGTGGCCTACAGTTGGCTCCGGGCATTCAAAATGTGGCCTGGGAGTGGTGTTCTGGGAGCACGAAGAACACGAAGTGGCCTACAATTGGCTCCGGGCTTTCAAAATGTGGCCTGGGAGTGGTGTTCTGTTAGCTCCGGGCAATCAAAATGTGGCTCCTGGCAATGAAAATGGGGAGTCCCAGGTTTTCCCCGGCATCCCCCGGATCCTGCCCAGACCCCCCATGGGGAATCAGGATGCTCTCTTTTGACCCCACTAGAAACCTATCAGTCTTCGCTGTTAGGTAAAAACGCGGATGCTGATCACGCCGAGTACGGCGATGGTGTCCACGCGACGGTTGTGAACGTTTTGGAAAAACTTCGGCATGCGCGCGCGGCCGACGGGCGCGAATAGCCGGCATGGACATATTTGACAGGGGTCGTGCCCCTCCCCAGGAACGCGCGCAAGGGAGTTCGACAGATTTCTACATGCGCGCGCGAAATGTCAGCCTGGCCGCAGTGTATGAAACATTGAAACCATATGGTTTCACTCAAATTTCTCAAGAACGCGCGCGCAATATTGTTTCAACATCCATGCTGCCAAAACACGTGTGTTTAGATGTTTTGCGGGACGCTCGATCTTTTACATGCTTACGAAAACTGTAAGTGTGTAGAAGATTCTGGCATGCGCGTGCGACGGCGCGAACGTGTAAACGTTATCCCATTGTTTGCAAGGGGGTCCTCCACATTGATCATTTGTTTTGATAGACGCGAGCGCGCGCATAGTATTATTCGTCAGGGAGAAGTGGGTGGGAGGGTCGGATGCAATTTTGACTCCCTTGGGGTGGTATGAATTCATACTTAGAACGAACGATGGAACATAACCATGTGTAAACTGTGTAAAGCGGACGATTAAACCGCGTGCGCGTCTCGTTACATTCAGAACGGCTCTTTACAGCCGGAACGGGCACTTTCCAACCAACAATGATTTTCTCGGAAGGTCACTTTACAACCTGGAAAGGCACTTTCCAACCACGCAAATAAAAGTACTGAGCTTCGACCGGACCCAACCGATACCTTCGGCATTTGTTCCCAACGGTACGCATGTCGCATTTGGAATGGTATGGAATGCGATGTGCCCTGATGGTGTGCTACGGTGTGGTTTGTTCTGCCATGGTATGTTATGTTATGCGATGCTATGCCTTGGTGTGTTAGGATATGCTATGCTATGGAATGGGGTGTTGTGTTATACTTTGTTCGGTATGATCCATCCTGTCCTACCTCATGGCGAAATTACTTGCCAGACCCTCCAGATTGTGCCATGGTGTAGCATATTATGCCGCGCTCTGTCACGTTATTATTCGTTTTATGTGTTGCGATGCGATCTGTCATATTAGCTGTGCTGTGCTATGTGCTATGCTGTGGTGTGTTCTGCCATGGCATGTTCTGTTATGACCTGTTATGTCAGGTCTGACATTTTGAGGTCTGATGTTTTACGCATTGCATGCCACAATGTGTCATCTCGTGCGTTGTTATGTTGTGTTTCGCTATGATATGGTCTGCCATGTTATGTGTGATTGTGGCATGCTCCGTTGTTGGTATGTTATGGTGTGCGATGGTGTCTCATGGTATGTTTGCTGCGACACGTTATTTGAGGCTATGTGTTGCGGTGCCGTGCTATGGTGTGCACTGTTCTGTCATGGTGTGGTATGTTACGACATGTTCTGCCGGTATGGCATGGTATGCTCGGATATGTTTTTTTCGGCGGTGTGATGCTATGCTGCTTTGCCATAACCTATAAAACTGTGCTGTAGTATGCTGTGCTATGTTATAATACCGCTCTGTCATGATATGGTTTTCGGCGCGAAACGGGCCACCCGGAAACACTCGGAAGACCTCAGAGCTGGCGGCCGCTGTATGCAGACTGGCGCAAGGCGGGACACTCGGGGAGACGAAGGGGACCTGGAGATCTGGCGGCCGCGGTAGGCAGACCAGGCGGTTCGACGCGGGGAGGGACACTCGGGGACACTCGGGAGACCTGGGGTCTGGCGGCCGCAATATGCAGAGTGGACGGGCCGGGCGGTCTCCTCATAAAATCTATATAACGGCCCCAACCCGCCGGATGGGGAATCAATGTGAATGCAGTTTTCGTAACATGTTAGATCTCTGTCGTAACACCTAAGGAACGCACGTCGTTGCCTGACGAATGTTGGTTGTAAAGCGACTCGTCCTGGATGAGGAGTTGCAACCTCACAGTTCTTGCTGCGAAGGGACTCGCCCCATCGAGTGAGATGGCAACGTGCCGGCGCAAGGAGGAAACGCAAGTATCCGAACCGCAATCGCACTACCAGCAGCACGAGCAAGGTTGCTCCTATTGGTACTGGTATGTGTATTACTAGCCGCAGCAGTAGATTTAGTAGTAGTAGTAGTAGTAGTAGTAGTAGTAGTAGTAGTAGTAGTAGTAGTAGTAGTAGTAGTAGTAGTAGTAGTAGTAGTAGTAGTAGTAGTAGTAGTAGTAGTAGTAGTAGTAGTAGTAGTAGTAGTAGTAGTACTAAGAATAACAATGAAAGTTGTAGCAGGACAAACATTATCCTGGCGAAAGACCCAACCATATGCAATTGTGAATAACGCTTTGTGGGTGCCGCTTTCGGTGGGGCTCTCTATGGGGCCACGAACGGCGTGCCACGAAACGCTGTCCTGGGCGTGCGGGACGCGTGCGGGCGGTAGCACTGGGGCCTTTGGTGGAGCTCCCTATGGAGCCACGAAGCGCTGTCCTGGGCGTACGGGACGCATGCGGGCGGTAGC